TTTAACCCTTTGCACTCGAGTGGTGACTCTGAGGCACCACTAAAATTTGTTATATCACCTTTTAAGATAATTTTGATATTAACAAAGTTTAGATATAATAAATTGTTAAGAGTGTAACTGTTGCGTGAGTCCCAAGAATCAATTTCGTATGCATAAAATGCATTTTGTCGTATAAAATAGAAATACTATATAAGTTAGAAGAATGATCTTATATTTACAGTTAAAATAGCTTCTCGAGGGCAAAGGGTTAAGGTATATGGGGCGATTGATTTAACTATTCCACCTTCGATTTTCTTCTTTTTACTTCAGTTACGATCATCCGGATATCATGGCCGGACAAGGAACATTGGGTTTAGAAATTGTGGAGCAAGTGCCAGACATCGATGCCCTCGTGGTTCCTGTTGGTGGGGGCGGTTTGATCGCGGGGGTGGCTTTGGCTACGAAGACTCTTCACCCTAACGTGACAATCATTGTGAGTCATTGTCTATTTTAGTAGTTCACTGCCACTTGTCTTTTATTGTGTGGTCAACAGAACGGTTAGATAGAATTTTGTTCAAATTTTTTATACCTTTCGATAATACTTGATAAATATATTGCAATATATATAATATAATAATATATATAATAATATAATAATATATATAATAATATAATAATATATATAATAATATAATAATATATATAATATATGACGAGTTACTTTCTTTCTTAGAATTTCTCCACTTTCATTGAATACACGAAATAATGCTTGCAAGTATAGTCAAGAATGGTCGAGTATCTTTTCGGCATTCCAGGGTGTGGAATCAGAAAGATGTCCCAGTTTCTCTGCGGCAAGAAAGGCAGATCGGCCTGTGTACACCCCCATAGAATCCACTTTGGCCGATGGTCTGGCAGTTCCCATGGTGGGATATAACGCTTTTGCCACGGCTAACCCATTGATTGACAAATTGGTCGTGGTGAAGGAGGAATGGATTGCCATCGCGATCTTGAAGCTGGTCGAGAACGAGAAGTGCATCGTAGAAGGTGCTGGTGCAACCGGATTGGCGGCCATATTGGCTGGCCAGTTGGACGAACTCAAAGGAAAAAGGTTTGCTTTTTAACAGAAAAATTTAGACCACCATTACGAACAAATTCCATCCCAGAAATTTGCAAATGCTCCAATTAATTTTCTATCTTGCTAATTACTTATTTCTGGTATTATTTTGAGTATTTATTTTTTATATCACTTTCAGTATTTGTTTTTGGTGTTGTTCTGAGTATATATTTTCATTATTGCTTTGTTGCTTTTGGCATTATTTTCAGTATTAATATTATTAATATTATTTATTCGTAGTGTTATTTTGAGTATTTATTTTTTGTTACTTTGAGTATCGGTTTGAGTATTTATTTTTGGTATTATTTCAAGTATTTATTTTTAGCATTATATTTTGGGTACTTATTTTAATTATCGTTTTGAGCATTTATTCGTAATAGTATTTGAGTATTTATTTTTGGTACCATTTTCAGCATTAACTCTTGGTATTATTGTGAGTATTTATTCTTTGTTTCGAAATTAATCAGGGTGGTGCTGCCGCTCTGTGGAGGCAACATCGATACGACGATCTTAGGGAGATGCCTGGAGCGAGGTCTGGCCGCCGAAGGTCGCCTTCTGAAGTTCACAGTGACAGTGTCCGATAGACCTGGCGGTATCGCGGAGCTCTGTAAAATGCTAGCAAGCATTGGAGTCTCGATAAAGGACATCATGCACGAACGAGCATGGATCATGTCGGACATTTTCAGCGTGGACGTGAAAGTTGTCTGCGAGACCACGGACAAAGAACATGCTGAGCGGTTGAAGAATATGTTGAACCGGAACTACCAGAAAGTGGTATTCGGCACCACCGATATGATCACTATGGGCATGCAACAGTGACCGTATGTTAAGCGATTAAAAGATCCCATTGGTCATGAAACTAGCATTTTTAAGATCACAAGAAATTTTAAGGGATCTTAAAAAAGATTGGACATTTTATGTACATATAAGTGATACTTGATAAATTCTCAGTTAATCAAACTTCCAAACTATGAAACGTTCTTCGAGAGTCTTTATTGATTACTGTAAACTAGGATATTTATATCGATTTATATCAGGAACCGATCGATCCGATGTGAAAGTAAACTTTTGTAGTAATATTCAAAAATTCGCAGGAGTAATTATTTTTCGGGAATTGAATCCTTCTATTTCATCTTCTAAAAGTCCAGGTGAATATCTTTAACTTTATTCAAGAGAATAGCGGCTTCCTTTAATTATAATAAAATTTTTCTGAGATGATAGAAGGACTAGTTTGCTGGACAATGCATAAACAAATTTTTGCGCACTTTGCAATCGGTTGGAAGAACAAAGAAAGTAACAAAATCATGTTCTCAATTCTTTTACCTGAGCGTGTAATGCAAATAAAAATGCACTTTCTCGCTCTCGATAAGTAGTAGAAAAGAAACTAGAAAAAAATACAATTTTTTCATTTTTTTGTCTCACCCCAACCTATTGTAATTTTTCCTCTTGGCCTAATTATAAAAAAGTTACACCATTTTAGAAAATGTCAGCAACTGTAACTGCTGGACTGCGAATCTTCACGTAAAATAGAAAATGTCCAGATTCGATCTCCGAATAATTTTAACGTGGCCAAATCGATATACCTAATATTATTATTTAATCTTTCAACTAGTGGATAATTTTTAATGTAAATAATCATTTCTCTGCATCGAAGCCTCGATCCCCGCGATCTTCAAAAAACTACGACGAGAGCCCGCGGATTTTCAATTTTCATAGCAGCATGATCTCCATAACGGTGCTTGTACATAGCAATAAAGAGATCGCCGGAGCGTTCCGGCTGCAGGATCCCTCGTGCTATCTCATCCAGCGAGATCGATGGTTTGGAAATTTGAGAGCGGGCCGCGTGCGCCAGGTACGGTGTAATCGTGCAGCCGCGAAATTTATTAGAGTTTCCTTCGGTCGGGATGCATAGGCTAGTTCGGTGGAAAATTCGCGGGCCGTGTCGGGCCGTGTCGGACCGAGCCGGGCCGTGTGTTTCGCAGTTTTATACGACGCGTGGGTTACGTGTTGCTCCCCGGTGCTTCCGGCTCGCGCGGATATGATCGGGTTTTTGCGTAAGCGGCCGATCGTAAAGCCCGGTTTTACGAGCCTGATTACGCCGCGGGACAGCCGGCGCTCTTATTACCCGACGAGCACGTGTTTAACAACTTCGAGCGAGATCCTCGTCCGTGCCAGGCCCGCGCGTTATTGTCGGCAGGTGGTACGGGCAAATACGTAAACGAGCGGAGAATTGCGATCGCTGGAGGATTCGTGCTCGGAAGAATTCGTAGAAGTCCTCTTCGACCCTCTTTCTCGCTTCTCGCTCTGCTTTATTTGTTTCGCGCAGGATGTCGCCAACTCTGTCCAGATGGAATGCCATCGTTATCGCAAATAATGGGGGAAAGTGTTCCTTGGAAAAGTTGTAGGGTCTGACGAAATAGAAAATATAATATCGGCGGTTTCTTGCAGGTGGAGCTACGAATTGTTCCTTAAATACATATATATTGGAAATTGAACTATTAACCGGTTAGCTATTTTTGACGAGTATACTCGTCATGAAGAAATCGCAATACTTTGATCGTAGTGACGAGTATACTCTCAAAAAGTAGTTACGATTTGCCGTTTGAATTGAAATTTTAATTAGAACCAAAATATGTTGTAAGTACTAACATATTTTTCGAGCCATGCGTCTCGTTTTTATAGCTGTTGACAATCGGCAACTATAAAAATGAGCTGTAACTGGATGAACGTCCAATTTTGATCTGTATTTAGCAGAATTAGTTATGGATTTTTATGTGCCGATAGAAAATATATCAGAAGAATTGATTTATATAATAAATCAATTAAAATATATAATAATATATTAATTTATATTATATGTAATTTATATATATATATAATTTATTGAATATTAATATATATAATAATATATTAAAATATATAATATAATAAATGAATTAATTAAATATTTTCTTACCGCGCGCGCGCGCGATATTTTGTATTATAGAATTTATCGAATTAATTTTTGACTATAGCAAAAATCGAGAAGTGATTACATAGAATACATAGAGAAAATGGGAAATAATTTGTATTAAAAATTATAAAATGATGTCCCTAAATCGCTTTGGTAAAAACAATGTTAAATAAAAATGATCAAATAGCGTCTTTTGATAACTTTGGTAAAAATATCGTTCACAGCACTGTAGTTTCATTTCTATTTTACTGGAATTTTGAACGATAGATATGAGGTATATGGCTTATACTTCTTTAAATTGTTTCATGAAATTACGATACTGTATAAAAATCCGCAGTGCGGCCCACTGACCAATGGATACCGGGCACTCAATTCCATGTGATAGCATCAATTTTTCCTCTAACCAATATTTTATGACAATCGTGATTAATTGGGTTCATATTCGATGCGTATTGAATGCATGTTCGATGCATTTTCGATGCATATTGGAATAGCATATTGACACCGTTTGATTGCACGCCCCTAAAAAATACAGTTCCTGATTATTCCCGAAAGTATGAAAGTCAATCGAACGCACTGCAGTGTGGATTTTATAATTTCCATTGCCTTCCACCTCGCAAAAGAATTGTTTTCAAGCGCTCTAACTCGATTTATTTGTGCAAAAAATATCTTGACTACTGCCCTCGGCAATGTGGGAGAAACGTATGAAAGTACAAAGAACAATGGCCGCGTTTGTTTGACGAGCGTTATTTAATTCTTTAGAATTGTTAGTCATCATTTTAGCTGTGTACAGGATTTGTTTTCTCGTTCTAATTTAATTATATAATGAATGGATATATTGAACCGAGAGTAACTTCAGCCACTGTTTAAACAAGGTATACGATTCTGTTTGATGAAAGTTTGACCGAGAAGAAGATGAAGAGAACTTGTATTACTTGTGCGAGAGCAGAGGAACAATGGAAATCTTTGTTTTACGAGCTCAATTAAATCACCAAAATAGCAAGCCGTGTTTCATTTTGCAAGTAGACTGTTATGTAAGAAGTAATATTGTGTTTGAAGCAAAGTTTGATTACCGGCGATGAAGATTTATAATTCTTTAATATAGATCGTGAAGTAATTTTAGTTACATTAACTCTTCGTCGTTGAATCTGGGTCTCCGAGACGCCATTAAAGTTCTGAAACAAGCGATAACCTCGCTGGAAATTTTATTGCCAATAAAATTTTAGGGACATTGCTCGGTTTATGAGCTCGATGCACCTCGGAAAATATTTCAGTAACATTCTGTGATTTAATGGCGTTACTTTGTCAGAGTTTGGATCTCAATTAACTCGAATACCGTGCCAGCGCGTTCAAATTTTTAATTCCCTCTCGTTTTATCCCATATCAAAACATGTACTATTCAAATTTCCTCCTACACGACCATACTCCTCGCGAAATTTTTATCTACGTATACGTATTTCTCCAGCTCTTTAAACACATCATAAATCACTTCTCCAAGAATAATAAGAGAGCATTGTCGTACTTGCTCCTCGTTGTGCTTGTTTCTACTCCCGAGGAACCGAGCTTATTATTCTACCGCGAAGGGTCAATTCCGACCCATTTGCGGGTAGCAAGAACCGTAACGAGAGTGTGGAAACCTTTTATGAAATCCCACGGAGCCGCGATAATATTATTTTACTCGTGTTCGAAGAAATTCGGATCTGAATGCTCCCCGTATGGGCTCAATTTTAACCGGGTTGCAAGAAATGTATGTGCTCCATATGGCGGTACGCCACGAAGATTCAAATAAAAACCTTATAAACTTTCAAAATAGTTTTCTGGAACTGCATTTATTTCGAATATTCATACTCTCCCGCAGCACTATCCCAACAAAATTCCATCCTAAAAATAGAGTCTCCGCTGCATCTCTGAAAGATTCATTACAGATACTGGACTACCGGATGTTGATTAATTTTAATGAATTTCTTGCTTTCAATACGTAAAAAATTGATAACAGAAAGTTGTTTCACTTTGACGCTATTTCAACCTGAAACCGCCATCTTAACCCTATCATTACGCTATTGCCTTTCACTTGTTCCGATTTAGTTGACAATCGAGTGAAATGCAATTCTTTATCACACTTTTAATCCTTTTAGCACCGACTTGAACACAAATACTTGTGCGAAAATCAATGTACTTGGTTGATGTAGTTTGGTAGCATAACTCTTGTATCTTGCAATTAATTTCAGACAATATTTATTTTGCATAAAAACCGGTAGTATAACTATAATCACTTAAAATTTCATTTTCATACGTTTGGTAGTTCAATAGTTTAATGGGGAAAAGATTGACACTTTATTTCGCTGGCAATTAACGATTACGACAATTTTGAAAAATTCTTCGAGATTCGTTCATATATCGCTACAGTTTTCGACGTGTTTAAATTTGATCAAAATCTGAAAAAGTACTTCGAGAGATGTCCGATTTCGCATGGGATGACCTCGACAGAAAAGACGCCGGATTAATGTAACTTCACAGGGCCACGGTTTCGCGAATACACGCCGTTTCGGGTAATGTACGTGCGGAAGAGTCAACGCCGAGGTGAAAGCACCGACTTCTGAAGATCCTTTCAGCAACGGCTCACAATACATGACGATATGTCACCTTTCTAATATCGGGAGCCGCTCCGGATGAGTTATGACATGTGAACCATCCGGCGAAGGAAGCAGTCTGCCGGCCGATGAAAGAGCCCGCGGTACCTTTCATTTCACTGTGTGTCTCCAACGTCGCCGCGACTGCTCCCATTTTTTAACGGAAGCGAATGAAACTCGCGCCGAAAGCTGCGCCAACGTTGTGCCGGAAACACTGCTCGAATTTTAATATGGCAGCGCCCGGAACCGCGGCCGGATCCGGGAGTGTTTTCAGATGGCGGAGAAATGCACCACCGGCGCGAATCGACGACGAATTTTCTTGATTTCCGCGGGTTTCCCGAGCTGTCATTTTCCTCTTCCTCGACAGACTCGGCTGAACGTCCGGAGAAGTTATTGGATTTGATTTTCGATAGCAAATTAAGGGAATTGTGCCCGTGCGCAGTTCTAATTTTATTAGATCACGTCGTTCGTGTAATTTTTCCATTTCATTGATCATCAATTTTA